GAGAGAGAGAGAGAGAGAGAGAGAGAGAGATGGATATGTTCAGAAGAAAACTGTCTATCTTTGATGGTGGTGGCCTTAGATTTCACATATGTACAGGCTGCTATTATTGGGTTTGTAAATATAACAGAGAGAGATAGATGGAAGGGGCGGGGGGCTTTAATTTGGAGCTTGTTTACTGTATAGAACCTTAAAGTGCATAAACATAAGACATGAGACCTGAAATTTCATGAGCCGCCATGGGGGTGTGTGGGGTAGAAAAGTTGATGCTGAACTTTTTGTCTACCTCATTACTCCTACTCCAAATTCATCCTCATCATCTTCTGGTATTGAAAGTCTCTCACAAGTGGGTCCCAAACCAGGTAGGTTGCGTATAAAGTGTTTGAAAGTGGAAGCATAAAGATAAAGAGATAAAGCTAAAACTTCCTTTTAATTTGATTAATATCTGTCCCTTTATGCTTTCTTTTTTTAGATTATTATATTATGATTAATATAATATCATATGCTGACACATCATGATCATTTGTTTTTCATCCTAATGGTTAACCTCAAAGAATATTTAAAAAAAAAGAGAGTTGATAGCCATAATATATTTTCATCCACAATCATTTTCATGATACACGAAATTTTAATTCCGCCTCTGCAATTTTGATACTATGAAAACTAAACACTCATGGGTCTTTTTTATTTTATTTTTTAATTTCAAATGAGTTACCTTGTGGGACGGAAAATAATGGTGGCAATTGTTATATTGATAAGTTGGAGAAGTTTTGTTACATAATATAATATTTGTAAATTAAATAAATCAAAATACCTAAAGAATAGAAAATGAGGAAGAAAGACCATCCAAGTTGGCCACTTAGAGATTTTTTTAATATTTTTATAATTGAAAATTATCCTAAACACATGTTTTTACAATATGTTAGATGTATTAAGTTAATCAGAACGTTTTTTGTGAAACTTGAATTCAGAATCACTTTGAGTTTATTACTGATTTAGTCAAACTTACGGCTCTCGAGTCTATTCTAGATAATAGTTTGTGGTTTTAAATGCTTTAAGAGGGCAATTGTGAACTTATACATTGTCAAAAAATCTCAAGGACCAACCAAAAGTTTCGTATTTTAGTTGAAAAGGAGACCCTAGACAAAAGTGCATCTCTTTTTCAACTAAAATATATGAAAATGCTTCTTTGTCTAGATTATATATTGAGAAAAAAGGGGTTGAAAATAAGGTCACTTTTGTACTTGGCTAAATAAAGATTCCTTTATTAAAGTAAAATCCCATATCAAACTCTTACTTTTACATGCATGCATTGCAACTCAAAGCTAAAAGGACCACAACACTATGATTCCATGTGATGAAAAAAGGTAACAACAAATCCATCAACCCAATTCACAGATGCCTGAAAAGAAAGACTTATAAACAAAAAGGAATAGCATTACCATAACAAGCATCTAGCTTTAAGGATCAATGCACACTTTTTTGTCCATTATAAAATATGTTATGTGGCCCTCATGGTTTTTCTTTTTCTTCTTTTGAGTAATGTTAGATTGGCTAAAAAAGAAGACTAAAATCATGAATTAAATGATATGAAAATATCATAATAGTGTGTTGTTGGTCCCACTTAAATTTTAAATATATAAAAGGGGGACCAACAACATCATTATGGTAAGAGTAATGCTACTTTGAAAAAAAATATTGACTATATTTGATGATTCCCAACATTACTATCATTGATTTAACTGTGGATTTCAACAATTATTAGGACCTGATAATACACAAAATGAGTTTATGCAAAATCAATCAAGATGAAATAAAGAGGGCTCAACACAAGCAAATACAAAGCTTAGGTGATTCGGTTTGGGTGACCTACTCTACTAGGAATGGTAATGATGACTAGAAAATCTTATTATTCAAGAAAATATAGTGTGTTGAGATGTGTGTGATGCCCACCATGTGTAGGTGGGATTTACAATTTATAGACAAGTATAAAGTTGGCTTCCGAGGAGATCTGATTGAGACGTCATCCTCGAAACTGATTCTGTAAAACTCCTCTTATCCTCGTAATAGGTGAGGTGATAGCGGAGTGATTATTTGAAACTTGTTTTATCTTGTAACGAGTGAGGTGATCTCGCGAGACTGGCAATGTGCCCCCGATGACTGCATTTCCACAAATTCCCTTTCATCGAATGGAGATTTCCACAAGTTTTGATGATGGGTTGGGCCTTTCAGGAAGATGGGTTTGATACAACTAAAATTGTGACCGAGGTTTTGTTGGTTTGCATCTATGATTTGAGTCCACTCTGGACCTATCATTTGTGATCTGGCCTAGATTGGGCCAGAACCATTAAAATCTATTACTTATTCAACGGTTGTAATAGAAAGAGTCAACAAATGTCGTCAATATTTTTTTATCCCAAAAACATTTCTCTTATGATAATCCTACATCATTTTGTCCATGATTTTGGTTTTTTTTTCCAGCTAGTCTAACATTACTTTTATCTTTTTGATTTTTGTAAGTTATTTAGAAGAAAAAGTCCACGGCATCAATTTGGTATTGTATCAAAATTCATCCACAACTATTGATTTTATTTTGGATAGTTCGCAATCATTGGTTGAAAAACTGATAAAAAAAAATGAAATAGAAAAGCTTTACACATGTCATATTTTTATTAGACAAAAAGTATAAATATAATACCGAAAAATTGCTCACTATATAGAAAGTGATTCATCTGTTCGAATTCAAAAGGATTAGCTTTTAGGATTTGTACAAGAAAAAAGTCATGTCTAGTACATAAGATCATTTGTCCAAATGACACGTCACGAGTTCAAGTTCAAGTATTAACTTCTTTAAAGCAGAGTAAAATTGCCTATCAGTTACTTTTTTTAGCCCCTATCATAAGCAATAGTCTTGTCTCTACGTCTGGAAGTGTCAATTTTTGACTCGAACATAAACCCGACTCGAATCGATCCTAACACAAATTTAAAAATAATATGATTAGTTAACACAAGTAATAAATGGATCAAATTAAAATTTAACACGAATAACATGATTAATGAGTACTGTAGGTAGAAAATAATTATTTAATGAGTATTGTAGATAAAAAATAAAAAATTTATAATTTTTTAAATAATATTATATTATTTGTTGTCAAATTAAATAATTTTTTATTAACACGAATATTGACATGAACCCGACACGTACCAAAAGTGATACGACACGAAAATAACACGACCAAAAATAATATGACAAAAAACTGATATGACACGACACGATTAACACCCCAACTTACATGGGCATGACTACGAGACTCCTATTTGATACAAAATCTTAAAAAAATAGGTAGTAGGTAGTTTTATCCTATTTTTAAGAGACATGATTAAAATATTTTGGAATAGCTTGGGATTGAAGTATGGCAAATTCAATTCATTATGATAAGTTTAGCCATAAAAAAATTATGAGAAGTCTTTTTGGGTGTGTTGGAAAGTTTAAGTAGCATGTTGCTTACTGCTGTTACTCATTATCAAGTTTCTTTATTTTATTAATCAGTGGAAGAAAGTCCTTTTCTTCTTTGCCATATCTATAGATTAGTTAATTAATTACATTTTGTCTCCAATTAATGGAAGTTGGAGATTTGGCACTGACATTTGCCACCCCTAAAATGAATAATAAAGACTTGACTTTGCAGATATTATTGAATCAAGTCATCTTTTTCTAAAGGGTAAATTGCTATCATTAGTCTTTAAAAATTGTCACATGTTAAACTTTGATCCCTACAATTTAAATTTTACAAACTCAGTCTTCGATGAGGATGACGGAGAGGCAATGGCGATTTTCGCCATGCTTTCCCGCCCCTCTGTGATCTTCAAGTGCCCATCACTTGCTGTTTTCTATCATTTTTTTTTAAATAGATGTTAGGGATAGGGACCTCATTAGTCATGCGTGTAAACATTTAAGATTACATTGACAAAATTAAAACTTTAAAGACCAAAGTTCAAGAAACGGAAAAACTAAGGAACAAAATGCAATTTTTACCCTTTTGTAGATGTATTCATCTTTCTGCTTGCATATTATAAACACATGGCTAATAAGAACATGGGACAGAACTGTTCAGTGGGGTCCACTTTCATGGCCAATGACTGACCATTATCACTGAGAATTTAACCGATGCCTGAATAAACATTCAAGTGGCCAATGAAACTCTTTGATCACTCGAGAATCTATTCTCACCTCTCAACAAAACTATGTTCAAAACCAACTGTAGTATGTAGATATAATCCAACCAATCTCAAACTTTAGTAAAAGCTTGTTCAAGAATCATAATTTTATTTTGATACATTAATTCGGTCATTTAAAAAACGAAAATATTTCAAAAATAAATAAAAAATGTGAAAATTTATTTTTTGGGTTAAAAGAAAAACCCAAACCATATTAATAAAAATGTGAATATATACATATAATGTACTGGCCAAGTCACACATGGTTTTTTTTTTTTGGGTTAAAAGAAAAAATAAAAAACAATTTGTTGCACAATTATCAAAATCCAGCAGAGCGCCAGTTGGTCAACCAATACAAAATTAATTTCTAATAAAATGATCTGTTTCTCTTGATTCTTGCTTAGAACCAAAATCATATGATTAGATTTTATGCCTTTTAATAATGTACAATTTGTTTAACAATCCTTTAATGTTTGCTTATAAAGTAGTAACAACGAAAATCAAAGAAAGATTGCAAGAAAACATAAAGAACGTACCATTAACCTCCCAGCTGGTACCCTTGTCAGAGGGCAATATTGAAGCAATCGCCATGGACTTTGTCTTCAATTAGATAAGCTCTTGACATTAAGATGCCAACTCATTCAAGCTGAATGCAAAACTGGCACAGAAGTAAAGGCACTAAGTCAGGGGCAGCCATAACAAAAGTCTATTATTTTCACACCCCTTTCTCTCGATATAGATATTATATTTAGAAAGAGATAGATCTGCTGCATGAGCAACTCGAACTGTGCCTTACATATGTGGTCTTTAGGCTGCACTCCATCTTTCTTCAATCTAGGTGAAAAAATCAGCAAGATGTGAAATTCATGAACAAGCAGGGTCATATTCTCATGCATTATGTATAAATAGCTGCCTCAAGGATATGAATTCATCGATTGGAGCTCGTGTTTTAATACAATAGTTAGAACATAAATTGAAGCTACCAAAGCATATAACCTCAAGAAGATAAAAGAGAAGCCCTACAAAATAAGTACCTAATGGAACTTGGATTATTTACATATGTATCACACAGCCTTACCCAACTGCTAGGAAAAAAAAAATTAGGAAGGCTGATAACATAGCTTACAAAGAAGACTAAATGTCACTCCGTTTATCTTCATCTTCGCCATCATCACTACCCACAGCCTGAAAATTATTTCAGTAAGAATTATTGGGGTGACATATAAATCTGAGTTGGAGAGAGAGAGAGAGAGATTCAAATTGAGATGGAGATAACCTGGCGTATTGCATTTGCCTTTTCCAGAATTGCAGTCGCGGAGACATTGGAAGGGGGGGTTGGTATATGAGTTGGTTTTGCTGNTTTTTTTTTTTGGGTTAAAAGAAAAAATAAAAAACAATTTGTTGCACAATTATCAAAATCCAGCAGAGCGCCAGTTGGTCAACCAATACAAAATTAATTTCTAATAAAATGATCTGTTTCTCTTGATTCTTGCTTAGAACCAAAATCATATGATTAGATTTTATGCCTTTTAATAATGTACAATTTGTTTAACAATCCTTTAATGTTTGCTTATAAAGTAGTAACAACGAAAATCAAAGAAAGATTGCAAGAAAACATAAAGAACGTACCATTAACCTCCCAGCTGGTACCCTTGTCAGAGGGCAATATTGAAGCAATCGCCATGGACTTTGTCTTCAATTAGATAAGCTCTTGACATTAAGATGCCAACTCATTCAAGCTGAATGCAAAACTGGCACAGAAGTAAAGGCACTAAGTCAGGGGCAGCCATAACAAAAGTCTATTATTTTCACACCCCTTTCTCTCGATATAGATATTATATTTAGAAAGAGATAGATCTGCTGCATGAGCAACTCGAACTGTGCCTTACATATGTGGTCTTTAGGCTGCACTCCATCTTTCTTCAATCTAGGTGAAAAAATCAGCAAGATGTGAAATTCATGAACAAGCAGGGTCATATTCTCATGCATTATGTATAAATAGCTGCCTCAAGGATATGAATTCATCGATTGGAGCTCGTGTTTTAATACAATAGTTAGAACATAAATTGAAGCTACCAAAGCATATAACCTCAAGAAGATAAAAGAGAAGCCCTACAAAATAAGTACCTAATGGAACTTGGATTATTTACATATGTATCACACAGCCTTACCCAACTGCTAGGAAAAAAAAAATTAGGAAGGCTGATAACATAGCTTACAAAGAAGACTAAATGTCACTCCGTTTATCTTCATCTTCGCCATCATCACTACCCACAGCCTGAAAATTATTTCAGTAAGAATTATTGGGGTGACATATAAATCTGAGTTGGAGAGAGAGAGAGAGAGATTCAAATTGAGATGGAGATAACCTGGCGTATTGCATTTGCCTTTTCCAGAATTGCAGTCGCGGAGACATTGGAAGGGGGGGTTGGTATATGAGTTGGTTTTGCTGTCACAGTACGTCTCAGACTGTATGACTGGAATGGTTTAATAAGGTGGAAGCACAAGTCAGTGAGAATTATACTTAAATATCTGCTTGTGGAAAATTTGTTTGTAAGGTAACAACTAGTGGAATGTCACACCAGACTCAATACAATCATTTGGGAGATGTTTCTTTTATCCATGTGGGTCAAGCTGTAACAGTTGCGGAGATAGGTTATAAACAAAAGTAGAAGACATTATCAAAGGTATGATAAGGTGCATTGCTAGAACAAGTGAAGGGTGTCAAAAATCTCCTGAAAGTCACACTCTAAAACCTTGCCAAAGCATCAAACTCAAATTCAATTGACATTGAGTGGAGAGGCGCACAAGGTTCCTACATTAGTTTTGGATTTGTTTTATATTACTGTGGGACAAGCCATAGCAAACATACAACGTTAGTGGATGTAAACTAGTTCGCTAACTTATTTTTTTCCTTTTCAGAAGAACAAGTGTTTGTACATAACACATTCTAGAAGTACTGTTTAAGCATGAATTTAGGGTAAGACGTGGGGCAAGAAATCAAACAATATTGGCTATTTCTCTAGTAAAACTCTAAGGTCAAAAAATGTAGTGTGTAAATTAGAACAAGAGAGTTGCAGCAAAATTAAACGGTAAGATTCCAGCTCATAAGAAAGGCATAGCAATTAACACAATCTACCAACCTAGAAAGGTTATCGGCTACTCACCTTTGTTCTAATCTGATGCAAGAAGTCTTGCTTTTCATCCATCCCTTCTTTCTGCCCATTTAGCTCCTGCAAGTCTGACCGATTAGTTTCTTTCTGCCCATTTAGCCTCTGTAAGTCTGGTAGCTGCAAATGTATACGACACAGTCAGCTATTGCATGTTACAGTCTCTACTTATGTCATAATCAATTGAGCAAACAGAAAAGCTGAAAACAGTAACTGCAATGATTACGTTGCTTTTCAGTGTGTATGTAGCCTCGACTTCTGCCACATCTGATTGAGGTCGCAAAGCCCGCCATTGCAATGGAGGAAGAGGTGGAGGCAGTGCCATAGGCTCCTTAGGTGAGCAGAACTCAAGGAGATCTTCTGCATCAGAACTACTTTTTAATTCTTGCATAAATGAAGGATTCATTTTCTCCAAACTTGGAAGATCAAGTAAACACCGAGACTGAGAAAGTTCCACCCCATTTTCAGCAAATGTACTTTGAAATTTACAGTTATCACAGGCGCCCCCCTGGGTTTTTCCCCCTATATTTGGTGAGCTTGAAGCAGATTCTGCTGGTGAGATTCTGCACAAGGCATCACATAACTCGTGGTCCTTGTTACTGGGAAATTCACCAGATTCCCAATGCTCAGAATTTGACTCAGATTGATTGCTAAGGCAATCATCTGAAATATAAGGAGATGATCTACAGAATGTGTCATCGTCGGAGTCTGAACCAGAGTCGTGGCGATGAATAGCAAGCTCTGGGACCAACTGAAATGAAGGAAACATATCTCTGCTACTTTCACAACAATTACCCCCATTAGGAAATTTCAGTTTCAGTTTGGAAGTCTCAACGCTATCTATAGGCCGGAATGATATCTTCATGTGTTGCAGCGGGGGAGAAGAAGAAGGTGAGAGGACCAGAGATGGACTTCCAAACTGCTCTTTAGTCCTCCTGGTGGAAGTTTGATACAAAGCATTTTGACAGCTGCTCTTCTGCTCAAAAACACCAATGTTCATAGAGCTGGCAGGCTCAGAGTTATTATCACCCCCAAGTGAGAGTTTTCTTCGAAATCCATTTACCAGTAATTGGTTGCTGAGTTTTAACATCCTAGATGAATTTTTGCCATTATCTGCACTGGCTGTAGTAGATTGGATATATGGACCGACTGGCCCCTCAGTTACAGAGGCAAGTATATTGGTTTCATCAAAACCATGGCCCTGAGAATGATTAAAACTATTACTGAAATCAGTAGATTTTTCAAGTTCGATATTTAGATTAGCTGGTGAGAACCTCCAAGTTGTTCTCTTAATAGAAACAACATTTCCTTTATCATTATGGCATGATGAAGAGCATTTAGAACTTAGACCTTCTTCAATGATTCTGGAGCTCCTGGCCAATATGTGATCTTTTCCTGCAGGTTCACGCCCCTCAAGCATATTACTTTGAATTGAAGGGCCCATGTTGTCATCGTCACTCTTGGCCGTAGAATCATGACTGCCAGCATTCAATGAACTGAAATCTGGTGGTTTCAATGGCTCAAGTCCTAGAAGGCTACCATTTGTCCAAAAGGAAACCACATTACTGCTAGAAGGTTTAGGAGAAAGTATTTGAGATTCACGAGGACTGCTTATTATCTTATCACTGGCTGGATCCTGTATATTGGCTTCTATGTAGCCAGAAGATGATAGCTCACTGACAGCAGATTCTGAATTTGAACCATCAGGAATATTCGCATTTCCACATAATTCAATGTCTGGAAAACTGAAGAGAGTTGACGAGTTCACAGCAATTTGAGGTGCATGGGCATCATATTCTGAGGACACCGAGTTGGATTTATCCTCGAATGGCCCTATGTTTGAGGAAGGCTGAACTGAAGCATGAGATTCTGGGGACCTTGGATTAGAGATATCCCCAGATTTATTTTTGGGTGGGGAACTGTGAATGGTAAAAAGAGGTTCAAAATTTGATGAATGATTGCCTGTATAATGTGCTGTGCGCCTTTGTATTCCATCTTGTACTTCTCCATCGCTCAAATTTGAGTACTGCTCCAGTTCTTGCTTCGTTTGGCTATCAAAGTCCATTTCAGACTCAGATTCGATGGTGTTAAGGGCATCCATATAATTGTCTGCTTCACTTCCGACATCATCAAGCTTGTCACCACCCCCAATCGATGCTGGCATGTTCTGATTGTCAGACTGTAAATCCAAAAGAATGATTGTTCCTAAGTTAACAGCTCCTGTGTCCTGAGTAGTTAGGTCTAAGTCTGTAGGGAGCATCTCTGAAGTTTCATCACGATCATATTGCTGTCCCATAGACTCTGCTATTTCTGTTTTTTCATCCCAAGTAACACAAGATAAACTGGAGCCAGCTTGCTTCTGTGATAGACTGTTTTGAATATCATCATCTACAACTCCGCTTTCTTCATGAAGAAAAACGTAATAATTTGTCTCGTTATGGTGCATTGGTAGTCGAGAATAGGAGGATTCCCTACATTCATGTTCTTCAGGTTTCCTAGAGTCATTTGGATGGAACACACATTCTATATAGCCTGTCCCAGTTCTGGAATCAGAAGAATTTGATTGGTCTCCCAGGTCAGATTTCAAGGTAGCATCAAATGTGGAGACAGTCTGAGTAGGGGACATTTGCTCACCAACGTTTAGAGACGCAAACTGCATCCTGTATTTTTAAATATTAGGAATCAAATCAGGGACAAACTTAAAATAGTACATAACCAAAATCCGATTCCAGTACTCTACTCTCACACCAACCATTCTCCACACCTGCACACCAACACACACCCCAACTCTCATATTTGGGTGTGTCACATCAATCCACACATGAGGATACAAAGTTACTAACAACATACCTGCCACTATAACGGGGCATCACCCTATGTGGTACTTCTTCATTCCGCTGCAATGATCTTTTTTTCTGTTCAATTATGGACACTTATTACCATATAATTTCACTATGCAGCATCATAATACAGCAATAGGTAAACAATGACGAACAAGTGATGTTAATGAATCATTGCTATAAGTTCCAAAAATGCAAGTATATCAATCAAGAGAATCTATGAGGCAAATGATGGATCTCTAGAAAAGCAATTTAGTTGTATATGACTATGGACTGTAATTAATCATGGAATCAATTTAGTTGTTATACAAGACAAAACATTTTATCATTCTTTTTTATTTATTGAATATTTCACAAGACCAAAGAGTCAAAATGAACCTTGATCCTACAAGACTTTTTATCTTTGCGGACTTTCACAACCTTTGCTTCAATTGACTTAGCTGATGCTCTCTTGAAGAAGGTAGGATCTGAATATCTCTTTAAGCAAGATCCCGGACCTCCAGTATCAAATCTGAAAGAAAAAACTGAAGCTTTCAGTACCTAGCACTAAACTATGAACAGGATACAACTTTAAGTGTTGACATACTTGTCAAGTAAGTGCAGACACGGTGGGCTACGACATTCTTCGTAGGAATCAATGATGAATTGTGGCATGTCATTGTAGATAAAGTGGTTTTCTTCAGCTCGGACATGGGCATGCCAGTTGGAACCTGCAAAGCCACTGCTTTCAATTAACAAAGACAACTTGAAAGACTGGTAAGATTAATGTAGTGCGAAGGTATACTTAACTTCGAGTATAATAATACATTGGTTACTTATGCATTTTCAAACCATCTTAGTCAAACTCATTTTTTTCTCCAGTTAGGGCTAGTTATAATGTCTGTGTATTTAATTCCAAAGTTTACGCTTCCTTGTCCTTTTTCCTTCTCTTGGATAAGCAATTTTATCCTTTCTTGTTTATCCGTATATCAATATGGACATCCAGATTTTCACCATGCTCATTTTGTAGGCATGTTTTGCTTTGCTGCCCAACCATTTATCTGTGTAGATCATGGCTGTTATAATAGCCATTCATCAGTTGTTTATGTCTGAAGACATCACTTTAAATCAGAGGAAGTCATAGAGAATAAAGGGAAGGGGGTAAGGGGTGAAAGGGAATCTTTCGATCGAGGAATCAATTCTTGCCCAAATTAAAACTCAGCTAGAGTTCGTGCCAATCATCAGTTTAATGGAAGTAATAATTGGAAACAATCTATCCTTAAACAGATATAGAAATATTCAGAAAGTGAAATCACAGGTACATGAGCATACCAGTCATGTAAGCCAAATGTATGTGGCTTTTTTGGGCCAGTATGGCTCTCTCGATTGGAGGAAGTGCAGCTTCAATGTGTTGTACACGAACCATCACTTTACGGCTTCTAGAAGATGTAATCATCACTTGTTCCTGTAAGCCATGAAAAACCTCCGCTGCAAATCTACAAAAATGTAGTTAAGCTGATTAATATCTGCTATTTTCAATAACGGGACACAGCATTGTACTAGTTTAGATTTTACTTTGATAGATATACATGCAGGGGTGCATGTATGTGAATCCAGCATGTACACAAATATACAACTTTATATCCATATATTATATGTCTTTGCCGTTCCCATGTTTCACTATTCTAAAAAATTTTCATGTCAGTGCTTCGGCATCGTGTCATGTCTCATACCCATATCTGTGCTTCTTACTCAAGAACCAGACACATATCAATCGTTGCACCCCAAAGATCTGCTAGAAGGAGACTGGTGAAAATTTTGTTGTAAAAGCTTCCTTGAATCCAGAAGAAGAGATGGATCGATTTCATAAGGAAGCACAGATGTGATCAGTATAGGAGTCCATCTAGGGATCATCAAAACCTTGACCTCAAACAAGGCTAGGAAGGAAGAACTTCAGAGATGAAGATAATGATCATGGGGATGATGTGAAGATAGAAGTGTATGATTTTGAGAAACGGACTTCCAGAAAATTTCCCATGCACATCAACTAAAATTTTGAATTTTTGGAGTGATTGCACAACTTTACACCCTACTGTTGAAATACAAAAATTTCCTTTGAAGTATAAACCTTTCAAAAACAAGTATAATTAATGTTGTAACAAAATTGGACCAAAATTTTTGAACAGAAGGTAAGTTTCTTAACAATCCACTGGCATTCCCATTTAGTTAATATCCCTGATTAGAAGTGACACAAGCTTAAAAAGAATCAAAATTTCTGACCATACCAGGACCCAAAAAACTGTGAAACTAGTATCTATAACACACATAAACACTTCCAAGGGACCCAAAGTAAACTTGAGTGGTCATGGGGTCGAAAGTCTTGGTTTTGGTCTCTTGGACCTCAAAGAGCTTGTGTATTCTTTATGTGAGAAATGAATAACTATATCGCACTATACCATCCTTAAGATTGCTCTACCGAGTACCAACATCATTGCCGTCATTTCAAAGAGCCACCAATTCTCTGCTCGCTTCATCATCCTATGACCATCAACACCTGTTTCATACACTGCAGGCTGTCACCAACTTTAGTGATTTACTACTTCCCATACCACTGAAGCAGAGTAATTCAACAATTTCAGTAGTTCCCTTGATCTATTTTTTTCCCCCAGGAAACGAACATAGAACAGAGATATGACATTCACAACTTCGATGAAGCGCCCTTTTGGTAAGGTCAATAACACAACTGTTGTAGTCCCCAATTATTGATTTGGACATTGCAGACCCTTTGAACCAGGACACTGTGATACATACTGGTTTTCTATAATAGAATCTCTAAGTCTTATCTTACATCTCATTATAGGTACACAAACACTACAATAAAAGAAAAAAACAAATGAACTAATTATACAATGTGTTTTCAATAGGTGCTGAACTTTCCGGTTTCCTAATAGGAATTAGAAACATAGAAAGCCACATATCTTCAGTTCACCCACACACAAAAGTAAATATAGGAACGTATAAATGCATGCACATATTAAAGCCTGATTTCTGAAATTAAACTATTTTTTGCATCACAACATGAAATTATACACACATCATTTTCAAAAATCTAACAACTTTCAGCTCTACAAATGCTAATCAAACAAGAAGCACCTAACCAATTTTGAAAAATTCAACAGATTGAAACACTACAAAAACTGGACCAATGAGCCAATTGAAAAACTTAAGGAGAGAGAAAATGAAGAAGAAACGTGACCACGTACTCAGCAAGATCGCCTAATTGCCTTAAGATCCCAACTAGACCGGCCACAGCCACGCCGTCAAGCACAGCCTTCGGATCTTCTTCTCCGTTCGCTTCTTTGTACAGCTCCCGCTGTCCCAGTCCGTACTCATTTCTCACCTCCACACGCACCAAAGGCATTGCTCTCTCTCTCTCTCTCACACACACACGCAAACTCTCCACACTTTCTCTCACTATAATTTCACTAGTACAGAAATGAATGAGAGAATGAATGACTTAAATGAAGAAATGACGAGAGAGAAAGTTTTGAATACAGAAAATGTGAGGGAAGAAGAGAGAGAAAAATTAGGTGAAGAGAATGGGGCAGCTTAACTGCCGAGAGAGCTATATATATATATATAGAGAGAGAGAGAGAGAGAGAGCGAGCGAAACTGTACGTATATGTTGAGAGAGAAACAGGTGTGGGGAGCTAATCGAAGAAGACATTGCCCACTCTTTTTAAAGTTTCAAAACCATGCTGCTGTCTAAGGATCAGTCAGTACATTGGTAGGGACAGTATATACGAAAGGACTGGAATGACCTCGTGGTCTAAATAGAATGACTAGCGTGTCCGGGAAATGGTGGGACTGTTTATACGCTTGAAATGACGGATTTGGGCCTGGCTTTTTTATGGTTAGGCAAGTAAGAGTTGTGGTTTCCAATGACCTTTTTGGTAAATTGAAGTTGTTTAATTTTCATTTCTATTATTGATTTTATTTCATTTATAAGAATATGACATTTAAAACCTTATGGCTATAATAAAATTTATCTCGATAACGTATTTTTATAAATTAGAATCACAATTAATATTCTAGTTATAAGATTCACCTCCAACTATAAAAAAGCCATTAATACTATTATTTTTTTTTTCATTTGAGTTGATCTTGGATGATATATGTATATATATTTATTTATGTATACAAATTATAATTTATCATGTGACTTAATTTTTTTTCATATGAGGGTCGAAAAATAATAGAAATAGAAATAAAAATAAAAAAACAGATAAAAATGTAATTTTTGGTAATGTCTATGACCAAAATGGTTTCGACTTGAGCCATAGTTCAAATGTATAAGAACAATTTTTGGGGGTTGGATAAAAAATAAATATATAATTATTCTATTTAACTAATTATAAATTTTAGATGAGCATAAATTCCGAAAGCTAAGTACGTCACGTCGATAACATCTCTTTGTAAAACTGAAACTTAAAATGTTGAGATAATAATTCTTAAAACATTATTATTTAAGGGTATTATATTATTGTTTTATCGATCTTAAATTACAAATTCTCGAATAAGGCTACTATGTAAGATGGTAGAATAAATTTTAAAAAAATTATCAAGTAATTATTTTTTGGTTATTATTAAGTAACTAGTTAATTACCCACTTTTCGAATTTAAATAATTCAACTATTAATTGGAATTGGAGTCTGACATCTGTGTATTTTCTGTTTTTTTTTTCCTAATTTTAATGATTATTTTTATATGAGAATAAAGAACAAAGGTGCCAGATCTATCTCCATGACTCCATTCATATAAAAATGATGACAGTGTCAGCTTGTCAGTCAATAGAGTTGACTTACGACCATACCGAAGGTTGTTGTTGGTTTGATTTGATTTAAGGGTTAGGTATCTTAGTTAGGTTTCACTTTAACTATTAATTAAATTAAACTAAAACTTAATTAATGAAATTCATTATCACTGAATTAAATAGGATATATAAACTCCGATTTCTAAGCCTTGTTAGTTATTACCGACGGATAGTGTGTGAGTAGACTGATAATTGAACCGAGTTTTATGAGTTAAAATCGAGTTTGTTGTGTTCTTTTTGGTACATTAGCTTAAAAATTTATTTAAACTCGACTTATTTAGAACGTAAATCGAATTCGAGTAGAGTTTTATCCGAGCCAAATTTGAATAATTCGGCTCAACATGTGAGTTATCAAGAGGTCATATCATTTTTTAGCTCGTGTTGTATTAAAATTATTTTGTGTTTATGATATTTTCATACCTTTTTGCTTTTAGTAAAATCCACCACTCAATCATTTCTCATATACTTTTGTGATGATGCATAAAAATAAATTTGTGTACAATTAAATTAGTTGACTATGATGTAAAGTAATTAATGAAGTAATTAATTATAAGAGGCAAAGATTGGATGGTTGGATTTGAGTGACCTAATTACTGAAGGTGACAACGGTAGTCAGAGAAATCTATTAATGAGATAATACAAGGTTGTAGGAGAGAAAGAGAAAGAAGAAGAGTATAATAAAGTTGACGTGTGTGAGTCTGTGAGATCTCATATTTCCATGTGTAAGGAGCTTATAATTTATAGGCATCGAATCCTAATTGTGACGCTGACATAAAAGTCAAGTTACTAATTTATCAGAGAGGCTAACTATTATTGGAGATATACACTATTTTAGAGTAAGTAATAGCTATTCTAATGATTGTTTTCTCACGTACGTTGACTTTCCCTAAATTCTTGAGTTTTAGATTGGACTAAGACCACGAACTAAGCGTTAACTGTCTTTTGATGATTTGAGCTTAACCCATGAACCGAGCTTATGTCTGATATGAATCTGAGCTCGTCACTTGAAATTATTGTTCACCTCTCATAGTAAAACTAATTTTGAAATTTTATTTAATTTTGTAACAATTCATATAACATTATTTCAATACCTAAAAATCAAGCAAATTAAGAAATGTCTTCCTATAATAATAAGTGAGCAAGACTGTCGTGTTAAAATTAAGTTTATTATTATTTGATGCTAATTCCATTTATTTATTAATCTTGTTTTTTGATCGTGTCATTCTCAATCTATCATTGTCATGATGTTTTGTCAAAAAAGCTATCACCCCTAATCCATAGTCTATTTTCCTTATAGTGCAAGTGATATTACAATGAGGTAAAAAGTAATAGGGATTTAAGAATTTTGGAAATTGTGAGGCCTGGACTATGATTGAGGTGGAAACGTTGACTCACTATTTTTATTTATTTTAAATTTCAAAAATTAAAAGAGACAAATTGATTAACTTTTTTTTAAAAAAATTTCATAGCTATTTTTATTTTTTATACATATTTTTAATAAAGAATTATATATGTAGCCTTCTAATGCCTTTACATACTATACATTCTTGACATACTAAAATACGAAAATAATAAGAAAAAACAAGCTTAATCGATTAACTTTAATATTACAAAAATACGAAAATGCCTTAAATAACCTTAATAGATTAACTGTTCAAAATAAGAAAATTTGGGTTTTAGAAATACTTTTCCATACTGTGACTGATAAAAATTAAGAAAAAAAATTTAAAAGTATGCAAAGGAGTCAATTTTTCTTAATTTATCTGTGTTTTATTGTTCATTTTGTAATTTTAGTATTTGTAGTATTTTAGTATTTCTAAGCCAGAGGTAACACATGGGGGTGTAGGGCTACTCCTTTAGCATTTGGATTCCTCAGTTCTTGATGCTTGTCATGACTAGGTACTTAATATATATTTGGAGAATTGACTCTAAGAATACGAGTATGGAGTAGAATCTGATCCCCCTTTCTAAAAAACAATGGACACGAGTGTAAAGTAGATTGAGATGTGGATGGTTTGACCTTGTTTCTATTTCTCGAGTTGTGCATGCTATCCTTACAAACAGACTATGCTAATTTTCTCCATATCTCATTCCAAGATTATGGATGTCCCCCTAAGGGACAGCTAAACCTAGGCTATTAGATGGTAACTTGGTCTTATGTGATAATGAATGATACACTATTTTGTGGGTCAAGCCCTAAGGTCTGCCGGGCCAGACAAGTGCTAGCCCATTGTCTGAGAAGAATGCTTATGATGGGTCTTATAACTTTATTCTGTGGCAGACATTGGGCTATGTAGTGTAAGAGACTACAAGCGTAAGACCTCAGAGAAGCCATTGCTTTACTTAACAATGAGATGAGTATGGAAATGGGAATGGCTCTTTGGAAAACATTGTTTTGTGTTTATGGCCAAAGGGCCATCGTCTCTGATGATGCACAAAAATGATTTTGTACACTATCTGTCAAGTGTAAATAATAAATGCAGTAAAAGTAAAGAGAGAATTGGAGGAGACAAGATTTATAGTGGTTCGGTCAACTCGACCTACGTCCACTCTTGAATGACTTTCGTTTTCGAGTACTTTATTAATTTAAGGGTATGGAGATAGAGAATACAAGCTTCGAGGGAGAATAGAGAATCAAAGAAGGTGTGGTGTCAGGCAATTAGTGTCCTTCCAAGTGTTGATGGAGTGTGCAATTTATAGTGGCCCCCTAACAGGTTGGGGCTACTTTCCAACGACTAAGCAACTATTTCGGTGGAGCTCCCGATCTCTTCTCAACGAGCAAGGTGGTTGAAGAGCTCTCCATGAGATGCGGTCAAAGATGGACCGTTTCCTTTGGTGGTGCAGATAAAACTTCTCATGTTCTCCCCCTTGATGACGTGACTAAGGAAAGAGTCTAACTGGTCTTGGACTATATTGGGCTTTGTTGATTTTTCATGAGGTTGGGCTCCTCAATTGGGGTTGGACTTCTCACATAAATTGGGCTATTTGGACTTGACCCATCATTTGCCCCCCAATGCCCCATGTCCAAGGAGACTTGGAGAAGGGTGCATTAATTTGTTCATTAAGTTATAAGTGATGGAAACTTCATCTGCTAGATGACTCTTTCTCTCCACAATGTATTTTTGTTTTGCATGCCTCAAGTTTTTTTCACTTTTGCTAGGATTTTTAGAAGAGCCCATAACCTTCAATTTGAGTTTTTTCCTCTTTAAAAACCTTAAGCTATAAATATAACCATCTCTTTCATCCTACCCATTTCATTCACTTTGAGATTGAGCACCCACCTCTTGAAAACCTTGAGAACTCAAGTCCTACACATTTCGAGTGGAGTTTTCAAGTGGGCAATGTTGATTGAAGAGGGAGTGGTGGAGATCGAAGGAAGGGAGGAGGTAGGTGCCACTTTAGGAGCTGGTTTGGGCGAATTTAAGGAATTTTCTTAGAGTGCAGGGGGCTGCCCAGGCATTGGAAGGGTTGTTCTGGACAGCTTGGGCGCATAGAAAAGGGGTCTGGACAGCTTGAACGTGCAGCACAATGAGCTGGACAGCTTGGGT